CCCCCGATCTTAGGGGAAAAGGGGATTTTTATCCTGTTGCAGGGAACGACAAAAACACTATCCCAAGTTGTACAGTTTAGATAGCTGACCTCCCCCAGATTTGACAGTTTTATTGCATTTCTGCCAGTGGATTTTCCTCCCTTCTGGGAAGTTAGGTGGGGAGGGAGGGCATGATAACGTCCCTCATGGATCTCTAAAGCCCTATGACGTAAGGACTGGCTAGATCCCCGATGGAAAAAGAATAAACCTAGGACTAGAAAGTTGAGTCAATTGCCATGTGTCACACAGTTCAGGAAGCAGGTAAGCCAGGATTAGACCTCTGTTCTACCTAACACGCAGCCTAGCTTCTTCCTGCTTGCTGCTTCCCGGACTGGGGTGGGGGCTGGAGGGGTCCTGTGAATGGAAGCAGGTAGTGTAGTTGGATGCTGCTGTGGCAGACCAGTTGAGGCAGGGGGAGAGCCTGGATATCCTGGGCTCCCTCGCTGAGGCTGCCAGCATCCTAATCCCTGGGAGGCAGGGTAAGGATAGACCTGGAAACCCTGGAGCTCAGCCAGAGAAGGGCTTTTCCCTCTGACGCGAGTGAGGCCTCTGGAAGATCTGACGGGACCAAAGACACAGCTCGTGGACCCCTGAAGCACTTACCCGTAGGAGGCCTAGCTCTACTAGATCTAGGTGAAGCCTGGCTGAGCACAGTCCCATGACCCCGAAGTGCTCAGGCTCCAGGCTGGAGGTTTAGGGCTCAGACTGTGTTTTAGCCTCAGATTACCAGCCTCCTAGCCTGCTGTGTGAGGTCATAGCCACGGGTTCCCAGGTCAGTCTGAAGTCCTACCAGATTTGAGGTCTGCTGAATTAAATGGCCTATCCCCTCTGCTTTCCCCATCATCTCCCCTGATGCCAGAGTGCAGCAGAGCTTATCTCCACACCTAATCATAGGTCCCATGATCGGTATTCTATTGGAGTGAAATGCTCAGCCTTGACTCCAAGGGAATTCAAAACTTTTTGGGTTAATAAGCCTCTTCAAAGGAGGCTCATTTGACACCTGCTTATTCACCTCCTCCACTGCTAATTTTTGGGATCTTGGAGCCACTGTGGAATTCCCTGTGGCTTAGCTTGACCCATCACTCCCTGCTCTCCTTTTTCCTGTCCAAGAGGGACCTTACCTGGGCTTGGGGACCCTCTGAATCCTAAATCTTTACTACCTATAGGCTTTTCTCAAGCAAGCCTCCCTCTACTAAGGAAAAGTAAAGGTGCAGGCACTCCTATTCTGGCCTCTACTTCTGTCCATCCTCCCGTCCCCACATTCACAGGCATTCACTGGAAACAATCTAGCACAGAAGTCAAAACTGGATTTGATTCCTGGCTAGGCCACGCGTTAGGTAGTTGAGCTAGGGTAGTGGATAACCCAACCTCTCTGGGGCTCCCTCTTCTCAACAGAAGGAATTATGCCTGCCTGTCCTGTAAGGAAAATATGGGGGCAAAGGGTAAAGACTGGACCTGTGTGTAAAACAGACACAGGAGAGTGCCTGCCGCATAGAGTCTTCCAGAGCTTAATTAAAAAAAAAAAAAGGTTATTATGGAGATTTGTGTAGTGCTAGATCCTGGAAGGTGAGGAAGGGTAGGATGCGGCCCCCTAACTTCTGCGACATTGCAATTGAACAGAGACCTACCATAGGCATACTCCCAAATGACTACCAATAGAAAGCTGCATCTGATCAAGACCAGGATGCACACATTGTGGGGGGTTCAACGCGTATGAAGAGAAGGAGCAGGGAACTCACCATAGGCCTGTACCAGACACTGCACCTGGCATGCGACATCTGTTCCCTCATTCAGCCCTAATCATGGCCCCTCCGGAGGGGCATTATAAAGAATACACCCGCTTTTGCAGTTGGAGGTACTGAGGCTCAGAGAGGGAGAAGTCACTGTAGGCTGGGATGGTCAGGTCGTCTTCACAGAGGAGGTAGGATCTGAGCCAAGACTTGCAAGGTGAATGGCACTTGGATAGGGAGAGGGTGAGTGGGAGAGGGTGAGTGGGAGTGAGGAGGAACAGCTTGCCAACAAAAGCCTGAGTCAGCAATGCCCAAAGCTAGCAAGGTAACAAGGGACACTTTCCAACTGCTCCCTAGCAACTTCCCCTTGCAACTCAGAGCAGCATTATCTCTGCAACTTTACTAACAGAGGCTCAGGAAAGCAAGAGTCGTCCTCCCTTATCTCACCATCAGCCTTAAGCAAACAGATGGGACCAAGGTAGCCAGGAGAGCAAGTCCCTACAGCTGTCTGGCATCAAATCACATCCCCCCCACCCCTCCAACTGCCTCAGGGCATGCCTCTCAGGACTGAGAATAAGTATAGCCACGATTCACTGAGCCCTCTGTCTGCATTATCCCACTGAATCCTCTCAACTATCTTGTAGACCCTATTGTCCAGAGGAGGAAACTGAGGTTCAAAGAGGTCAAGTCACTTACCCAAGACACCACAGCTAGTAAGAGGCACAGCTGGGGTTTGAACCCAGGTCTAATCTGACTCCAGAACCTGTGCCCTTAATCACTCTTGCTGCAGAGCCCAGTCCCACTAGTTCCCAGCAGCTGTAGGATTCAAACAGCTGCGCTGACCATGTTGTGTCTCCTTTCCCTGTCAATGCAGCCTCGTAACACACTACTTTTCCCCAGAAAACAAAGGCACCAGCACTTCAAAGAGAACAGATTATGGAAAAGGTGATGCACTCTCATCTTCCTACGAAACTTTGTGCTCTGCAAATCCCTAAGCCCCAAGAGATGCCCTTATTCTGTCTCCAGAACTTTTCCCTAGAAGGGGGTCCTCGTGTCCTGATTTTGCCTGCTGTCCCAGCACAATTATGTAGAGCACCCCTTTTACTCTCAAAACCATCTGCATTAATTGGACATGAAATTATACGGTCACCCTACCTCACACCTCAGGTCCTTTGGCAACCCTGACACATGTGCTGGACAATGATCTGCTGCGTGAGGGTGGGGTCCGACCTGGGAGGAGTAGCCAGCCTCTCTTTGAGGAGGAAATAAGGGATAAACAAACTAAGAATGTGGCTTTCAGGGGATTCCGAGTACAATGCAGCTTCTTGGGGCTGGAGGGTCAAGGAACAGAGGTAGGGGAAGGCCTGGAATGCAGAACTTGCCCTAGTTGGGGGCAGGAAGGGCTGAGCACAGCTGGCTCTCTCAAGCACAGCTGTGCCTCACATATGAGGAGCATGGAGAGTTGGACACCCAGACATAAACTGGTGAAGGAAAGACTAAGGGGTCAAGCCCACTCCACTAGTCCCCGGTTTGCCTTCTATCACAGTCCACGTTCTTGCTGCAGAGGGAGCCCAACTAAGCCTTGGGTCCGGGCTGCTTCTGGGAAATTGAAGCCCCCAGGACACAGTAAGACCTTGGGGACAGTTGAGAAAAGCAAGTGGCCAAGGGTGCAGAAGTCATGAGAAATCCGAGCTCTATAGTCTGTTGCTGACTACACACAGGAACAAGCACAGGAAAGGACCCAAATAATGTCGAGAAAAAGCCATCCAGGAGGAAGGGATTTACTTCCAAGAATGCTAGCAGGATTTACTTTTGGAAAATCTATAATATGGTTTATGGGAAGAAGCCAAACGATATAAAAAAATGTTAATCTCGATAGGTGGTAAAACAGCACGTGCGAATGTTTTAGATCCATTCTGTTACCTAAAACACTTAGAAAACCAAAGATGTTATTGTGAACACATAGACCTTAAGCGAAAGCCCAATATCATGTTTGCGGATGAAATGCTACTGTCATTCCTATTTCAGTCAGGAAGGTGACAAGAAAGTTTCTGTCAACATCATGATTTGAATGTCCCTCACCCCCCCCTTTTTGTTGGGTGTACTTGCGAGATTTAATTCAACAGAAGTCTCCAGATAAACTAAGATTACTAATTCCCTGCATTTTGCATTAGTCTAAGAAGCCAAAGTCAACTGAAGATTCTATAAAGTACGTTTAAGTTAGCAATATGATTTGGAAGTTTTGATGGATATTAGGCATTGAATTGTTTTTGAAAGTTGACCACCGAAAAGAGGCTATTTTCAGTTGACCTGATTGCACCAGAATGAGTAAATCTCTAGAACCATTTCTGGTCTCAGGAAAACTTTATACGTCTCAAAATTAATAGGAAGCCAAAGAACTTTTGTGCCAGTTGTATCTGACAGTGTTTACTTTAACAAAACATTAGAATAGAAATTTTAGTCAATTTATTTTAAAATAATTTTTAAAAACCCATGACATCATGATGATATAAGTTACAAATGTATGTGAAAAATATGTTTTCTATAAAAGTAGAGAGGAGATTGACATCGTTTCAGATATCTGAAAATCTCCTTAATATCTAGCCTAAAGAACTCAAATGTATCTTTACGTCTACTTCTGCATTTTATCTGTTGCCATATCAGACATAATGAACTTCTCGAAAATTCCACCATGCACTAGTGAGAGAATGAAAGTGAAAGGGTAAAGACCATGAAGAAAATATCCCCATAAAGTTGACTTGGAGAAATAATTAACAGAAATGACCATTTAGGAAAGCCATAAAAATCATTATGGTTAAGGAAAATTCTGATTTTCCTTGGAACAAATTGCACTACAGACATATATTAAACATATTGTGATGTTTCATAATGTTTCATTCATGGTACAAATGAGATAAAAATCAGCAGAATGGCACAAGTCCAATAATTGACAGAAATGGCACTCTACGCAAGCAAATGATTGCAATGTGGTTAAAGGAAATTGATGATTTTGCTCGGAAGAAATTGCACTAAAGACATACAATAAAGTGGGGTGATACAATTGGTAATGTTTCATAAATGACAAAGGTGTTATAAGGATGGGCAGAATGGCAAAGGTGCAAACGCTAGAGTAGGTGGGTCTCTGGAGAGTTACAGGTCTTTTTGTGCCAAGTGAGGTGACTCTGAAAGGAGCCTTTGGTTTGCGAGGTGGTCAGGCGGTCCGGAGGCAGCTCACTGGCGGAAGGTGTACCTGGTGATGGCCTTGGTGGCCTCAGACACGGCGTGCTTGCCAATCTCCCTGGGCAGCAGCAGGCGCATGGCTGTCTGGATCTCCCTGGACATGATGGTGGAGCACTTGTTGGAGCGGGCCAGGCGAGAGGCCTCGTCAGCGATGTGCTCAAAGACGTCCTTGATGAACGAATCCATGACGCTCATGGTCTTCTGCGAGGGGCTCAGGCCCTTGTGAACATGCCTCAGAACCCTGGGGAAGTAGGTGGTGAAACTGTACCGAGGGTGGGGGGGCAGTGTTGGTGAAAGGGTGGTGGTGGCAGCAGCGGCAGCAGCAGTGGCGCGTTGGCTGCTTCTGCTTCGGGCTCTTCAGGTCGGCTGCTGTGGGATCCTCCATCTGTGCCCAGGCTTTCCTAAGAAGAGGTCTCACGGCCAGGCTCAGCCATGTGGGCTCACCTTCCCGACAGCTTGAAAGAAAGGACAATGGCGGCGGCTGGGGGCACTGGCCCATTTATAGTCGCTTCATTTCCTGACGTCACAGGCAACCTCCATATATGAATGGACAAACTGCAATGCAGGGAAGCACGTCACTATGTCAGGCCATGTCACATGTGCATGTGATTGCACACCCTTCTGCATCCCATCAATCAATCACAGTGGGATTCTGGCATCTTTCAAACTTCACGTTGCCTCTCTCAGAAACATGCCACATAGAGTTATAGGTCATCTGGACCGCAAACTGATTCATGCCTGTCATATGGAACAACAAATTCTACCTCTTTTTATAGTGGCTGAACATTAGTTGAGGCTTTAACAATATTCCTACAGATTAAGTCCTAAACAAGGACATAATCCAAAAGCAGGCCACTGTCAGTAGTATCAATAACCCAAACTGTATCTAGTAAAGGCTTATTATCAGATATAAACAATTAAAATTTGTTTGACCTATATAAGATACATAAAACATGAGGAAGAAATATCTAATTACTTACAAAAGCAAAGTATTTTGAGGAAACAGTTATGTTCTAGAACAGAATCTCATAACCACTGGAATAAAGATTGAAGAAATTCTGGACAGCATATAGGATACAGCTGAATAGAGAAATGGTGAATTAGAACACGTGGAAGAGATTGTTCAGAACACCTTATAGAGAGACAAAGAGAAAGAAAGGTTTAAAGAGAGCCCAAGAAACTTAAGAAATGGACTAAGAAGTTAAAAGTACATGTCCTAGCCATCCCAGAAGCAACACACTGGGTGAATTTTGGAAAAGGTCATACAGATAAAGGTCATCTGTCACACTGGCTGATTTATGCCTACACCATTTTCACTTTAAGATGTCACCCAATGCAACCAAATTGTAATGATTTTAGTTTCAGGTCCCAGAGAGAGTGGGAGTCCCATAAGTAGAGTTCTCACTGTCAAGAGAATGACTCTATCATGGCCCACTGCTGGGCCATTTTCTTTCCTCTCAGAATCTACTGTTTTCTCTGAGCCACCGTGGTTTGAGCAGGAACTCTCTAACATGGTCAGCAAGTGCTCTTGGTAATCATGTGACATAACTGACCAACCAGTGCCTCCAGTTCTGATAAAAACATGAATCAGAAAACAAGACAGCAATGTCCACAATAGCCAAACTGTGGAAAGAACTGAGATGTCCATCAACAGATGAATGGTAAAGAAGATGTGGTATATATATATATATATGTATATATATATATATATATATATCTCCATATCTATCTATACACACACACACACACACACACACACAATGGAATATTACTCAGCCATCAGAAAGGATTACTACTTACCATTTACATCAGTGTGGATGGACCTGGAGGGTATTATGCTGAGTGAAATAAGTTAATAAGCATACAGAAGTTAATGAGAGAAAGATAATTATCATATGGTTTCATTCGTATGTGGAATATGAGAAACAGTGCAGGGGACCATTGGGTACGGGAGGGAAAACTGAATTGGAACTCATCAGAGAGGGTAAAAAACCATGAGAGACTCTTAACTACAGGAAACAAACTGAAGGTTGCTGGAGTGGAGGTGGATGGGGGATTGGGGTAACTGAGTGATGGGCATTAAGGAGGGCACGTGATGTGATGAGCCCTGGGTTTTATACGCAACTGATAAATAATTGAACATGACATCCGAAACTTATGATGTACTATAAGGTGGCTAATTCAATTTTAATTAAAAATGCACTCCCCTCCAAAAAAAAAAAAAAGAAAGAAAATGAAAACTAGGATATGGTCAAACCATTTCCTTCAAAGTCAGAGTTCAAATACAAAATGGGATCCTTGTAAAATCATTAAAAACACAAGTATTTTCCTAAATTTAAAATTGTTTTCTTTATTTAAATTTAGTTTCAAAGGTAGAATTTAGTGATTCCTCAGTTGCCTATTACATCCAGTGCCCTCCAATGTCCATCACCCAATTATCCTTCCCCCCCCCACCCACCACCCTTCCAGCAACCTTCAGTTTGTTTCCTAGAGTTCAGCGTCTCTTATGGTTTGCCTCCCTCTCAATTTTCATCTTCTTTTATTTTTCATCCCCTTTCCCTGTGTTCATCATTTTGTTTCTTAAATTCCACATATGAGTGAAATCCTATGGTAGTTGTCTTTCTCTGACTGACTTATTTCGCTTAGCTTAATACCCTCTAGTTCTTAAATAATATCTTTAAAAGGGGGGGTGGGGCGTGCCTGGGTGGCTCAGTCGGTTAAGCATCTGCCTTCGGCTCAGGTCACAATTCCAGCGTCCTGGGATCAAGCCCCACATCAGGCTCCCTGCTCAGCCAGGAGTCTGCTTCTCCCTCTCCCTCTGCCACTCTCCCTCTGCTCATTCTCTCTCTCACTCCCTCTCTCAAATAAATAAATAAATAAAATCTTTAAAGAAATACCCTCTAGTTCCATCCACATCATGGCAAATGGCAAGATTTCATTCTTTGATGGCTGAGTAATATTCCATTGTGTGTGTATACATACATATATATATATATATATATATATATATATATATATATATATATAACACATCCTCTTCATCCAACCATCTTTCGATCGACATCTGGGCTCTTTCCATATTTTGGCTCTTGTGGACATTGCTGCTATAAACATTGGGGTGCATGTACCCCTTCGATTCACTGTGTTTGTATCTTTTGGATATATACCAAGTAGTGCAATTGCTGGCTCATAGGGTAGCTCTATTTTTAACTTTCTGAGCAAACTCTGTACTTTTTTTCAGAGTGGCTGCACGAGTTTACATTCCCACCAACAATGTAAGTCGGTTCCCCTTTCTCCCCATCCTCACCAACATCTGCTGTTTCCTGGGTGGTTCATTTTAGCTCTTCTCACTGGTGTGAGGTGGTATCTCCTCATGGTTTGGATTTGTATTTCCCTGATGCCGAGTGATATTGAGCATTTTTTTCATATGTCTGTTGGACATTTGTATGTCTTCTTTGGAGAAATGTCTGTTCATGTCTTCTGCCCATTTCTTGAGTGGAGTTTTTGGTTTTTGGGTGTTGAGTTTGATAAGTTCTATATAGATTTTGGATCCTAGCCCTTTGTTTGATAAGACATTTGCAAATATCTTCTCCCATTCCGTAGGCTGCCTTTTAGTTTTGTTGACTCTTTCCTTTGCTGTGCAAAAGCTTTTTATCTTGATCAACACGGAAACAAGGGCTTTGAATGACACACTGGACCAGATGGACTTAATAGATATAGTCAGCGCATTTCATCCTAAAGCAAGAGAATACACCTTCTTCTCAAGGGCACATAGAACGGTCTCCAGAATAGATCACATACTGGGTCACAAATCAGGTCTTAACAGGTATAAAGTTGTTTTCTTAACATTTCTTAGGTCCCTAAAATACACCCCACATAGTTGAATTGGTGGATAAATACCAAAGCTGCAGTTTGGAAAAAATGATTACCCTAATTCTCTAAGAAACCACCATAGGGAG